TGGAGTCAATGATAACCACCCGTGTAGATGAAGCCACAATGAGCCTTAACTAAAGTTCTTAAATCAAATGGCCTCCTATTTTTGGGCAAGTTTTAATGCCGAATCTTGAGCTGGAAGAAGGATACGGGGTTCTCGATTGATGTTCAACCTGGATGGGAAAGCTTTCTGGAAGGCAAAGCAATGTGAATTTCGATGAAACTATGAGGTCTACCAAGCTCATTATGGGAAAAACGTCTATATCATTCCATGTCTACCCTCAAACTGACAAAAATGTTTATTAAGGCCAAACTAATGTTACTTTTTGTGCAGGGTCCACAAATTAAGTTAGGATAATTTTAATTTATGTAAAATATGACCGAAAAACTTATGTAATATAAGTATTATGAATATTAATTTACAGTTTTTATGACGATTTAGTCAAATATTAATTCCTCTGGGACTCCGAGAGTTATTTCTGGAGTCAATGATAACCACCCGTGTAGATGAAGCCTTAACTAAAGTTCTTAAATCAAATGACCTCCTATTTTTGAGCAAGTTTTACTGCCGAACCTTGAGCTGGAAGAAGGAGATGGGGTTCTCGATTGATGCTCCATTGTCGCTAAAGTGGCCTCCATCATGTCCACGTTACTCGTGTTGCTGGTTTGGTCAGTCTGCAGATCGGTGTGCATGTGCGAACCAGTTGCCGGTTGGCTGTTGATGCACTCGCCCATGGGCTGTTGTTCTTGGTATGGCTGAATGTGGTGCTGGTAGTAATAGTCATGTCTGGCTTTGTCACCACGGCTTCTGCCTGCACCCGAGACACCTCGGCCGCCTTCCTCGAAGCACATCTGAACCTGAGGACTCGAGGTTACCGTGGTGATGTTCACCACAGAGGCAAGTGACGGTGATCCCGACGTCGATGGGGTGGTGCCGGTTGCTGTGCTGTTCTGCCACTTTCTGTTGTTGCCAACGCCGATGTGTCCCGCCTGACTGGCTATTGTGGTTGTATCGAAGGTTGTCGAATCCGACGAGGCGACACCATCGACTGACGAGTTGACGGCCGAAGATGTCGCCGAGTCGGATGAATGTGTCATGCTGCCCGGCTGACCGGGTGCTCGCTGTACCGGAACACCGGTGACTAGTTCGAGTCCCGGCGGCTTCGAGGCTGAAGTTGTCTTCGCCATGCCGTCAGTTGGCCGATTGTCACTAGCCGAGGCCGTGAGTTGACCCAGGTCTGTGGTCACTGTTGTCGTCGTGGTAACAGAGGCTTCAGAGTGCGGACTCCGTCTGATGCCGCTTTTATCTTTCGTCACTGTCTGACGGACCGGCTTTGCTGGCGGTGTTGACAGGAGCATTTCGACACCTCGAGCGCCAAGAAACTGGCCAGAAAGTTTGCCGGTAGAGCTTGCAAATTGAGTCGGTTGTCCAGAAAGTCCGGAAGTTCGATGGGTTGGCGACAAAAACGAGACCACTTCGGCCTCCTCGTCATCGCTGGACCCGGTCTGGAGGTCGCATTGGGCCGACTGCATGTTCGTCTGATCGGCTGGTCGACACGGTCGACTGGTTTGGGATCTTCGCGAGAACCGAGGACTCGGTGATCCGGTGGACAACTCTTTGCCGATGAGATGGCCACCAGTCACGCTCAGATAGCCCGGCTGCATGTCGGAGGACAAGAGTATGGGCGATAATGGACGAGACAACGCCTTCACACGTCCCGGGCCGTCG